AATTGACAACATTATAACGATTACTAATAATAACTTACTTATTAACGAATAATAATTGGCGTGACATTTTATTTATTGTACACGTTATTAATTGTAAGTTATGTTTTGTTGTTGTTGTATTCGTGGGTAGGTAGTTATTAAATCTCTAAAAAGGCAAACCTAYACTGTTTTACGTATTAATTCAACTAGGTATATTAAAAACATAAGTATAAAAAAAGTTCAAACCCGGGAAAACAATGTTTATATTATAATATATTAGAATATATTGCCATATTGGTAAAAATTAATAAAATTGGATTTTTATTAAGTATAATGTTTAATGAATATTTCTGTATCATTCTTATAAGTTGCAGAGGACTTTTATGAAGTTGGAGTTGGTCTACTTTCGATCATACAGTTCAGAGTATAAATAAGGGTGAAAATTTAATCACATWTTTTTATTGTAATACATTTTGATACTTGACTGTTATTAGGTATTGAATTTAAGTTAAATGAAAGATATTATACAATAATAAAATATGAAATGCAAATGACTGGAAATATTTATTATCCCCATTAAAATAATTAGACTAGGTACTGAAAACTTAATAGGAGGGGATTGTAACTTAACATTATGCCATTGATCTGGAATAAGTATACCTTAAACGGAATAGAAGTAATAGAACTATAGAAGTACAAAAACATTTTAGTTTTAATTAAAATGTCCAACTACATTAAATTATTTCTTAATCAAGCACTAAGTTATTAGATTTTATATATCAACTGCTTATAATTCTATATTATTGCTTGTACTAACAATATATCTATCAAAATTGTATATTTTATTTTGTGCACATTTAAAAAATAAAATTTGTTTGAATTTTTTTAAATTGAAATGCTGGGAAAAAACTGGCAATTAACTTTGTTGTATAGTAGGCTTTGAATGTACCTCGCCATAATAGAATACTTCTGTGGRTGAGTTCAATTTTTAATTCAATAATATTAATCATTGCATGCAAAAAACGATTTTGACCGTCTATCCATCTATCAGCCTACATTTCTAAGAGTATTTTAAAATACATTACATTTTATATTTATATTAGACATTTATTTTTCTTCTAAAAGTATTGTAGACTGAACCAATTTTTCCCGTTAACAAATTGGATACAATATTATAATATTATATTGTATAGTAATTATTAAAATATTATCTCATAATATAATATTACAATCTGTTTTATACTTATATTTTATATATCAATATAGAAAC